AGAGAGAGAGAGAGAGAGAGAGAGAGAGAGAGAGAGAGAGAGAGAGAGAGAGAGAGAGAGAGAGAGAGAGAGAGAGAGAGAGAGAGAGTAGATGTTGGTTTTGCGAACGAAGGGAGTCTATCAATACAGTTGTTTTTTGATCCTCATACCTAATCATCTTTCGAGCTTTAACAATGGTGGGGACGAAGAGAAAAAGATCAAATGTGACTCTATTTTTTTGTCGACTGCTTGTGTTTTCTGGTCCTGCCTTTTTCCTTTCCCACTTTTTCCGGTCCCAGTGACTTGACAAGAAAAAGTCGATGTTGATTCTGCGAGCGAGGGTCTATAAACGCAGTTGTCTTTTGATCTTCGTGTCTGCGGCTCTCCTCCACCTTGCATGTGGATCTAATGGGAGAAAGCACTGCAAGACCACTCCAAAGGCGTTGCTTCAATCAGGGGTATCTATCCATGGCGGCACCGGAGTGTGGGTTCGTGATGACCAGACGGAGGTGGTGTCGACTTTTTCCGGCCAGCGAGAATCTCAGATGGATCCAGGAAGACATCAGGCATCAGGTGGATGTAAGTTGAGGCCCACAAGATCGTTGCAGCTGAGCTGTGATGATCTGGCAATGCCAGGTGGCAGCACAGCAAGGGAAATGTTCTTTTCAGATGCGGCTAAGTCGTCAGCTGATGACATGGCGACGTTGACGTCAAATCGATCTTCCATCTGCAGAATGGCCCTGTTGAAAGGGCGTCGGATGTCCATGGAGGATCGTGCTATATGCGTTGACGAGCTTCAGATGCCAGGCATGTATCTGGACATACACATGGCCTTCGTCCTGTCTGTGTCTTAGTGGTACCCAAAGCAGTCCACGTGCATATGCCTGCTGAGGGTACAGCTCACCCTGTCTCTTATACACATCTAGATGTGTATAAGAGACAGCCTGCTGAGGGTACAGCTCACCTTCTGCCTGTAGGTGTAATGTCAAGTAAACAAAATACTTCAAAGAAAACTTTACGAAATACTTACCAAAGTACTTAACAAAACACTTAACAAATACAAACAACAAGGGGACCCGCCGCAGCTTCACGCGTGGCGAAGCGAGGGGAGGTTTGAGGAGGAGGAGGACGAAATTTTGTAGCAGGCACTGGGAAAAAAAAGTAGAGAGTGCAGATTGGTGTTTGCCTATTTCTGTCTCTCTCTCTCTCTCTCTCTTTGCAGATTGATGTTTCTCTCTCTCTCTCTCTGCGTCTGTCCCTCTGCTTTTATCTGGACATACACATGGCCTTCGTCCTGTCTGTGTCTTAGTGGTACCCAAAGCAGTCCACGTGCATATGCCTGCTGAGGGTACAGCTCACCTTCTGCCTGTAGGTGTAATGTTAAGTAAACAAAATACTTCAAAGAAAACTTTACRAAATACTTACCAAAGTGCTTACCAAAGTGCTTAACAAAACACTTAACAAATACAAACAAAATAACAAAATACTTAACGGAATGCTTAACAAACTACTTAAGAAAATACTAACAAAATACTTAAACAACGTACTTAAACGAATCAACGAAATGCTTCAACAAAGTAACAAAATACTTGAACAAATAAAGAATACTTAGCAAAGTACTTAACAAAGTGCTTAACAGAGCACTTGACAAAACACTTGACAAAACACTCAACAAACACTCCACAAATACTCCCCACAAGACCTAAAGACTTAAGTGAGCGAAGTATTTAACATAATTTTCATTCCACAACCACCACATGAACAATCAGCATCACTTCTCGACAAATGGAAGATGGACACATTGGTGCTTCAATCAAGTCGTCGCTGAGGTCTGTCAAGGTTAGAATGACGAAGAAATGCCGTCCCGAAGGACTCCTTTGCCCTGCTTTCGCTCCTCTCCCCCCCTTTCTTTTCTCCCTCCATGTCCGCCTGTTTGTCTGGTTCACTTTGCCTTATGATACCATGGTTATTGATGCTAACAGGCAGTATTGTGAACAGTTGATCTGCAGTCGTCTTGATCACTAGTCTTTCCCCGGGTCGAATGTACGGTCAGTATAGCTGTGTTTGGGGCAGCTTGCAGTCTAAATGTGGTGATAAATTGATAATGACTGTACGTTCTATTCGGGGGAAGACAGTTAGTTAGCTGTCAGTGAGCAGTTTGCTATCTGAATGCTATCCTGACCATAAAATGGCCATTTCATATTAATTCAATACCTGGGCTACCAACGGGGGCCACCTGGGTCACTCTGGTTGCCGGGGCGGCCTGGCTGGGCAAGGGCCAGGTAAGGTCCCTGCCCCCCAAAAAAATAAAATAAAAAAAAATCACAAAATCCTAGGCTGTTTTGCTGGGCACCCAACTTGTGCCCGCACACATGCCGGGGTGCCTGATCGGGCATGAACCCTGCCCGGGTAGGGGTTTCAGATACCCAGCACAAAACAAAAAAAAAGAAAAAGAAAATCAACAAATTTCAGAATAGAATCGCAATGCAAACGACTTTTGGCTGAGGGTCATAGCAGAATTCCTCACAGATTCGAAGATAATGTTACGATCCTGGTCATTCCCAAAGTGCAAATTCACAATGAAAGACAATGCCACCCAATTGCGATAGAAATGAAAGCACTTGCAAAGAGATAGAGACCAAAGAAGAGAGGAAGAAAAAGAAGAAGAAGAAGAAGAAGAAGAAGAAGATGTACACCAGCAAGACCAATGACAACCCCCCCTTCTCTGTCCACCTTCCTCCTCCTCCTTCACTTCGCCAATCTTATTCTTCTTCCAATAATAATAATAACAATGAGTGGACGAACCAGAATCAATATCCGAAGTTCCCTCTTACTGCTGACATCGCAACAGGTCTACCATAGCTATGGCTTCCCCCCTTCTTCCACCTCTCACAAGCCTAGGCTATGGTGGACAACTGAGGGCTCTGCCGCCCTGTGCAAAGGACAACACAAAGCAGCTATGTCGCTGCAGTCCTGTCCAAGGGACAGCCCAAAGCAGCTATGACGCTGCTGACTAAGCCACCATGCCTGACTCTGCCTCGAGCTTCCTTGGTGCGTCACTACCCCCACTGGGCCCTTCCAGATGCAGCGCCCAACAAGGTGATGACGATGGTTTTGGATTGGAGCGCCATCCTGTTCGGACACTACCCAGGCGGCCAAGGAAGCACTTTTGAGGAGAACATGTTCTGTTCGGGAAGGCACTCCATCCTTTGGGTGATATGGTGGAGGAGGTTCATTTTGGAGATGGAGGGGGCCAGGGTGGAGGAAGGGAAAGTGACGGAACAGCTACGGCATCTGATACAGAGCGAGATTGCCGCACAATGGCAGGCCAGCAAGGAACAGCTAGATCGGGCCCATACCAGAGGTGGCGTTGACCGAATTATCTCCAGATTTTGTGAGGACTGGCTAGGGGGGAAACGGGGGGTCGGTTGGCTGAGGTGAGGTGGACGGGGGAAGGCCAAGGCCATGATCAGCGACAGGAGGCGGAGGTGGTGAGAGATTATCGCCTGCATTTTCACGAGTGGACAGTAATAGACTCCAGGGAGCCGTTGAGACCGACCGAAGAGTTTGCAGACCCATTCCCCCCACACCCCCTAGCCTTGGTGGAGAAACTGGTATGAGCGGCTTCAGTGAATCAACGGAACGCCATCAGAGCATCGCCTGAACCTTTTCAGAAGCATCATCCCAGCTTTACTCTTAACGACAAAAGGGGGGAGGGGAGGATGGCAATGCCAGGGGACCCGGTGCCCCCCGGCCCTCTAGTTGTGGCCGTCCTGCCCTAGCCCGCCCCTCGGCCCTGCTCAGTTAACCCCCTAGTTCTTTGGGCAGTCAATGCTGGCAGGTGATGGACACTTATGCTATCGGTACGGGGAATCTGTTTTTTGGCAGGTTCTGGGTATGCCATTATCTACAGTAGTGCAATGACTTGCTGTTTCTGGTCGCCTGTAGCCTCTCTCTGTCGAGGCTGTACCATAAATAGGACAGATTCGTAATTTTGTTTGGCTGAGGGCTAACCGAGTGACCTGCCTGTAAGGAACATTCGTGAGGGACATCTGTAAATTTGGGAAAAATACAGGCCCACTACTAACTGAATTTCCTACAGCTACCCTAACTGCGAATCGCAGGCCTGGGTTACCTATAGAATAGACAGGCCCTAAGGGCCTATGCTAGTATACGGTCCGATAGCCTATAGCCGGGTTGGGAGAGGCCTAGAGGCCGAAACAGAATTGGTACCGGTCGGTCAGTCAGTCCGGTCTAGGTCGAGTCTAGGCGAGAGTAGCTATAGATAGGTTAGGCACATCGGTTCAGGGCTTTTGGCAGTTGGTACCAATGTGAGGAAACCCGGGAGGGGTCGCCTGTCCGTCGCTGAAGCCAGAGGCAACGACGTCTGTCACCTGCCGTGCCCACATCAGAGGTCCTCAGCGGCGGAACAGGGGGTGGTGCTCCGATTTGCCTGTCACGCCTCCACTAAAAGACTGACTCGGAAGATATTGACTGCGTACTGTAAAAAAAAAGAAAAAAATATCAGGATAAATTTAGTTGATTTAGCTTGCAAGTCCGAGACCTCACTCGAACCCCGATCGAGGCCGTTCCGGCAGATCCTCGGATTTGCAAGGATAAAGCTGTGATGTAACCTGCGGAAAAAGGCCACCAAATTAACTGTCTGTTTCGAAGGACATTAACAGCGATTAACGACAGCTAGAGACGACGGAGTATTTAGCACAGCGAGGGAGAGCTAACGAGCAATCCCACGTGAACAGGGACAAGAGTAAACTCCAACAGAAACTCTAGCAGTGGTCCCACAATTAAACCCGCAGGAACACCTTGTCACTGCTCTCGAATGACTTTACCGCTTTTCCACACCAAGAGTCCGCTCTGAAATTAATACTGCTATGTCCATATCTTGGTCATTTAAGAATCCAAATAATTGAAGCCTCTGTTCTGAAGGCCCGTCGAAACCCATGAGAACAGATCTTGACTTTATGCTTTAGCTGAGAAGCCACGACCACTAGACAAGGATCATGCAGGGAAAAGCTGCCCGGAAGTCCTCTTGTCACTCATGAGTGTTACAGCATCCAGCTGTCGACGTTACTCCCGGCTCTCTCACTTCCCCACTCTGTGAATCACTCACTCTAGCTCCACCTGTTGTCCTCCCTGTCCTACACGGTGATAGGCGCTGAGTTTTCCTACTGCTGGCGGGAACTAACAAGTTCATATGTGAATGTACCTGGTCGCATTCATGCGCAGGTTAATTAATTTCGGAATAAAGTAAACAGAACCTCACTTACTCTCTTTCCTTTCTCCCTCCCTCGCACACTCACACACGCAAGCAGTTTCATCCCGCTGTTACACATGATCTCACAGGTGCTCCTGTTCTTACATGCACATACGTTTCGCACCACGAAGAGGGCGCTTTCTGGCTCACGTTCTGCACACACTTGGGATGTTTCCACCATCACTCCACAATCTCACCGACCCAATTTCGAATGAACCTAGCCGCGCCCATCGGCCAGGTGCACTAGCTTTAGAGAACAAGAAAACAGTCTCCCACAAAGCGTCACTTAGCCTTCGTCTTTCTCACGAACCGGTTCTCTTACTTCACGGCCAGGGCCCTTTCTTTCTCAGTCATCCGAGGACTTACATGCATGGTCACTTTCTCTATGTGCTCCACGTTTCTTTGTGCGCTTTTCTTTGTGCGCTCTCAAGCTCAAGGACGCGCCTGAGCATCTCCAGATGTTAATGTTGACGTCATCCCACTGTAATTGCCATCATGCCTGAAACAGCCCCTCACGAACGGGCACGGGTAC